GGTCCCCAGGGGCCAGGCGGGCCAGCCGGCTCCGTACGTGGTTTGTGCTCACCGCTTCTTTGGGCCCGGCTGGGTATGTCCCTGAAGTGCTCAGGGGACCAAGACTCTGGACCCAGAAAGGTAGGCAACTGGCCTCCAGGGAGAGGTGTAGACCAAGCAGGCCAGCCGGCATGGCTCTGGGGCCCGGAGGGCTGGGGCGGGGCTGAAAGGGGTCTGACAGATGTATCTTCTTTGCAGGGTGAGGCTGGCCCCGTTGGACCTAAAGGGTACCGAGGCGACGAGGGGCCCCCGGGGCCTGAGGTGAGTAGCCCTCCCTGCCCCGGCCCCAGACTCTAGCCCCTGCAACGGCCCTTAGGACTGGGGAGCGCCCCCAGTCTACACACACACACAAATGTTTTAGTGCATTTCATGGTATCTGTGCCTTTCAGGAAACATGGAAAATGCAGAAAAAAAATAAAACAGAGAATTGAAATCTAAACCATTACCACCCAGAGATAAATAATACAAACATTTTAGCTTATTTCTCTCCAATTTACTTTTCTTATTTCCATATTATGCCTTATAAATTTGGCTTCACAAAGTTTTTTCTTTTTAATTTTGCCATTATGAATGTTTTCCGAAACCCTAAAGATTTTGTAAACCGCGGCTGCCGCGTGCTTGCTCAGTCCCGCCCGTGCTGAGTCCCTTTGTCTCTCTGAGCTCTGGGGTTGGAACTCCCGGCCCCGGAGGTAACGGTCAGTAGGCACGTAGTGCCGCTTCTGGTCCTGCCCTGGGGGTGCCGTCTGGGTGGGCTACTGGGCAGGAGGTATGGACTCCCCACCATCCCTAGGATGATGGATTTAAAGATCCTTCTTTTAATCATGGCTGTGCTGATGAGTAGAAATGTTGTTTTATTTAACTCGGTCTTCGTTTTCTGCAGAGAGGTGCTGTGCGTCCGGGCCTGCACTGCTGGCTGCCTGGATGTCCACTTAACTTTCCCACACCCCCTCCTCCCCTCCTTAGGGTTCCAGAGGGGCCCCAGGGCCCACGGGACCCCCCGGAGACCCCGGGCTGATGGGCGAAAGGGTGAGTGGTGGTCCCAAGGGCCTGGGTGGGGGTGGTGCCAGGCTGCTGGGGCCTGGGAAGCCATGGTTCGAGTCCTGGGCTTCGACCGGGAAGAGCGTACATGTGGGGCCTGAGGGTCCCAGGTGCAGTGTCTGGAGAGGTGCGTCCTCCACAGGCGACTGTCCCCTCTGTGTCTAGGGGCACCACGGGCGCTGCAGTCACTGTGGTCCTCGTGGTCATGGTGCTCCTCACAGGCACTGCCCCTCCTGCTCCAAAGTCTGGGGACACGCAGGGCAGTCCTGGGCAGGGGGATGCCTTCTGGGCTGAAGAAGCCCCTCGGGGCACCATCCCGAGCCCGGCGATTCCCAGTGACAGAACTTGGTCTGCTCTCCACAGGGGGAAGACGGCCCACCCGGAAACGGCACTGAGGGCTTCCCTGGCTTCCCTGTGAGTGCCCCAGACTCCTGTCCTAGCGCCCCCTCTGGCCAGCCGGGTTGGACCCAGGACCATGGGCCGGACCGGGAAGCCGTGGCTGGGATCATCCAGTGGGCACCCCCCCCCCCCAACCCCAGCCAAATCAGAGCCTGGCCTGACTGCCCCGCCTTCCCCTGCAGGGCTATCCAGGCAGCAGGGGCCCCCCCGGGATAAACGTGAGTACACGCCCACCATCGGGCTCCTAGTGTGTTCACAGGCACGCGCACACGTGCGTGACATACACGCACACGTTCACACGTGTCCCCAGCACAGGCTTGGAGCCGAGGCCCCTCCCACGTGTGTCTCAGCCCGTGGGTGCCCCTGCCTGGCCCAGGGGTACACCTGGCGACCGGCACTTCCCTCTGGGCTCCCAGGGGCTCAAACCTCGGGGTGTCCTCTGGCTGGCACTCAGCCGCAGGAACATGTGCCTGCTCTGGCGGGTCACTGTGTCTCCTTTATCTTGTCCTTGTAAAAACTTCTGCTTCATAGAAAGGAAATGCAGTGCTGTGACTGACAGTAAATAAGGCTGACTGAAAAGGGAAAGCTGGTGGAGGAGACGGCTGGCCAGAGGCCGGGGCCGGGTGGGAGAGCCCCGGCCGAGGCCCTCGCCGGAGTGAAGATGTGGCCCTGCCCCCTGCCCTCCCCGGGAGCCCAGGCCCTCGGCACCCACCCCACCCCTGGGCCAGGGTCCCAGCCACACACACACACCTGCCCCTCCGGACCCTCTGCCACAGCGACCGCGTGTTCCCCTGTCACCCGCAGGGCACTAAAGGCTACCCGGGCCTCAAGGGGGATGAAGGAGAAGCCGGAGACCCTGGAGAGGACGTGAGTGCAGAGCTCACTGGGGAGGTTGGACAGTCACCGCCGGGGGTTGTAGAGGGAGGCAGCCGTGTGCCGCCAGGGCTGCTGAGGCTCTGAGGGCAGGCGTGGGGCCATCGGGGCACAGTGAACACGGACAGAATGCAGCAGATGGCTAGTCGACGGTGGTTGTGTCTGGTGACACTGTGCCGTTCCCTTCCAGAACAACGACATCGCACCCCCAGGTGTCAAAGGAGCCAAGGGATACCGGGGCCCCGAAGGCCCCCAGGTGAGCGGCTGCAGCCAGCCGGGGTAGGGCACACTGGCGTTCTGAGGCTGCAGAGGGGCAGGGGTGGGAACTGCGGGAGTGGGTCTCCAGGGAAGGGTTCAGGGAGGCTGGCACTTTGACAGCAGGGTTGGGAGGGAACAGGCAATTTCAAGGGTTGTGGGGAGATCAGAGAAGGGGGAGCAGCCTGTCACCAGGTGATGGGTGAAGAGAGTGCAGCAGAGCCCGGGCTGGGTGCCTGGGGTGGGGGGGGTCCCCTGTCCATCAAGGTGGCACAGTCAGACTGGGGCGAACTATCCTCCCGGTGGTGAGTGCCCAGATGGTGAGGGCCATGCCCGGCCCACCTGCTGGCCCCCGGGCAGGGAGTAAGTGCCAGCCAGTGATTACAGAATGATGGCAGTTAGGGCCTCTCCACCAGCCCTGAGCACGCAGGCCTTCAGGGGCTCCTAATGGGAAGCGGGTCAGCCCGAAGGCCAGAAGGGTGAGGGTGGGCTTGCTCAGGGCTCCCATCAGACCTGCAGCTCAGGAAGTGATGCGCCCTTATCACTTTTTTCTGGTCCTTCCTCGGACAGGGACCCCCAGGACACACGGGACCACCAGGGCCGGATGTAAGTGGGTGTCTGTGAACGTCCCTGGGGGGCCGACCACTCTGGCTAAGGATCCCGTGGGGTGGGGAGCCATGACGGCAACGGGGGCATGAAATTGTCATGGAGGAACACGGGGTGACCACATATCAGTGACCACTTCAGGTGCCCCTGCTGCGGGGTGCCTAATACTCTGAGTCAGAGCCGCTATCCCAACCCAGTCCCACTGTGGTCCGCGGGGTGGCAACTGGGGGACCAGTTCAGCCCCTGGTGCCTGCGTCTCTTCCCCTCCAGGAATGTGAGATCTTGGACATCATCATGAAAATGTGCTGTGAGTATCTCTCATCTTTGAATAACTGTCTCGGTTGGAAGGAACTAGGTCCCACCGGCCCCAGCGCCCACTGCTGGTGCCCACGGAGGGACCATTTGAGCTGCGGCAGGGAGGGAGACAAACAGGAGGGGTGGGAGTGTGCCCCACCCACAAGAAAGTCCCCAAAGGTGGAGGGCAGGGGCCAAGCCACTGTCACCCCCGCCGCCCTTCCCCGGGTGGCCCGAGCGCCAGGCAGAGCAGCCTACCCTGGTGAGGGTGGTCCAGGCGGGTGGGGAGCTGGCAGAGGGTTTATGACCTGATTTGCAATACGATGTGGGATCTCGACTGGAATGTGACTCATTTCTCCTCTTTTCCTCAGCTTGCTGTGGTGAGTCATTTGAATGTTTCTTGAGGGTTCCCTGTGGGTGGCAGGGCTATGCCCCCTCCTCCCAGTTTATCCTGTAGAGCAGCAGGGGACCTCACCCCCTCACCATGCCACCATGGCCTTGGGGCGCTGGCCTGTCCCTGTCCTCGCCGCAGGGACCCACGCGGCCAGCCACAGGCAGGGGCCAGAAGCCCCCGGGTCCCGGCTGGGGGTGCAGCTCTGCTGAGGGGGGCCCTGGGAGGCCCCAAGGGCTGACCCCTTCCTTGCCTGCAGAGTGCAAGTGTGGCCCCATCGACATCCTCTTCGTGCTGGACAGCTCGGAGAGCATAGGCCTTCAGAACTTTGAGATCGCCAAGGACTTCATCATCAAGGTCATCGACCGGCTGAGCAGAGACGAGCTGGTCAAGGTGAGTCACACCCGCCCTGGTGCTTCCCAGGGACACCAGGCTGGGAAGGGGTGGGTCCCAGGGCCCTTGTTCCTTAAAAGCTATAACCTCCACCCCCCAGAGTATGAGTGTGGTGGAGGGGGGCCTGTGGGCCAGGTCGGCCTGGGACAGATGGTGGGTGGAGGGGTGGCTGGTGGGACCCCCACGTCCCCTCCTGACCTTGGCGTGTGACACGTGCAGTTTGAGCCCCGGCAGTCGCACGCAGGGGTGGTGCAGTACAGCCACAACCAGATGCAGGAGCACGTGGACATGAGGACCTCCAACATCAGGAACGCTCAGGAGCTCAAGGAGTGAGTGCGGCGGCGTGCCCGGCCAGCCCCGCCCCCCGGCAGCCCGGCCTGTCCCCCGGCCCCGCCCCAGCACTGACAGCAGGTGCTCTGGCCCCACAGAGCCATCAAGAAGCTGCAGTGGATGGCGGGGGGCACGTTCACCGGCGAGGCCCTGCAGTACACGCGGGACCGGCTGCTGCCACCCTCCGACAACAACCAGATAGTGCTAGTCATCACGGACGGCCGCTCAGACACCCAGAGGGACCCCACCCCGCTCAGCGTGCTCTGCGGCCCGGACGTCCAGGTGGGGCCACCCCCACACCACCCGCCGCCCCTCCTGCCCCTCCCCCCGGAATGTGGGGGACCTTCTCCACCGGGGCCACGCCGACACCGCCCCTCCCCTACAGGTGGTCTCCGTGGGCATCAAGGACATGTTTGGCTTCGTCGCGGGCTCCGACCAGCTCAACGTCATCTCCTGCCAAGGCCTGGGGCCCCAGGGCCGGCCAGGCATCTCGCTGGTGAAGGAGAACTATGCCGAGCTGCTCGAGGACGCCTTCCTAAAGAACATCACCACCCAGATCTGCATAGGTGGGCTCGGGGTGGGCGCCGCACTGGGGTGGGCGAGGCTCTGCTCTCAGCCCCGCGACCTCCTGGCCACAGGGGCCCGGCACCCCCAGCCGACAGCACCAGGGCCTCCCCACAGGCCGCCTCGCACTGGTGCTTGAGGACACCGTGGCGCAGCTCCCACGCTTCCAGTGTGGGCGACACCGTGCTTCTCGCACTTCCTCCCGTGAGCGCTCGTGCTCGCCGTGGTCCCAGCAGGTGCATCCACACGCCGGGGCAGGGGTTGGCCTCGGAGCTCAAGACCACTCAGAGGCCCCCCGCCGCAGAACACGCCTTTCTGGGCCCGGCCCGGTGGTAGAGCTGGGTCTGCAGCGCAGGCAGCTGGTGGACGGCCAGACACAGCTGCCGCGGTCAGATACGCCTGCCTGCAGCCACCCGGTCGGTGTCGCCTGGGGACAGTGTGGCGCGGGGTGTCTGAACTGCAGACCGTCCTTTCTCCTCGCTGAGCTTCGGCCAACCGGTCCTCGGAAGGGGCCCGGGCTCTGCCCCACCCCCCCCACCCCCGCCCCTCACTGGGTTGGTGTGAGGGCCACAGAACAGCAGGAGGGGGCCCGGCCCAAGACCTCAAGGCCCACCCTCGAATAGGGGGGCACCCCTTCTCGGCGGGGCCGAGTGGGCTGAGTAGATGCTGGCCAGGCGTCTAGGAGTGCCACCTGTGCACGTGGCTACTCCACGCCTGCCATGCGAGAGCTTTGCCGCCATTTTTGCTGGGGGGTTACAGCCGGGAGGGTGGTCCGCGAGATCACTGGCTTCACACCGCATGGCGTTTTTCTCTCTTACAGACAAGAAGTGCCCAGATTACACGTGCCCAAGTGAGTACCCGGGGTGCGTGGACAGGGTGCCGGCGGGGGCTCCCGGAGGAGGGCGAGAGATAGGGGGAGCCCAGGGCGGCCGAGTCGGGAGGCCCCGGCCGCGCACCAACACGACCCCCCACCCCGCAGTCACCTTCACCTCCCCGGCCGACATCACCATCCTGCTGGACGGCTCGGCCAGCGTGGGCAGCCACAACTTCGACACCACCAGGCGCTTCGCCAAGCGGCTGGCCGAGCGCTTCCTGACGGCGGGCAAGACGAACCCCTCCCACGACGTGCGGGTGTCGGTGGTGCAGTACAGCGGCCCCGGGCAGCAGCAGCCGGAGCGCGCGTCGCTGCAGTTTCTGCAGAACTACACCGTGCTGGCCGGCACCGTGGACAGCATGACCTTCTTCAACGACGCCACTGACGTCAACGACGCCCTCGGCTACGTGACGCGCTTCTACCGCGAGGCCTCGTCCGTCCCAGCCAAGAAGAGGCTGCTGCTCTTCTCTGACGGCAACTCGCAGGGGGCCACGGCGGCGGCCATCGAGAAGGCGGTGCAGGAGGCCCAGCGGGCAGACATCGAGATCTTTGTGGTGGTGGTGGGCCGCCAGGTGAACGAGCCGCACATCCGCGTCCTGGTCACGGGCAAGACGGCCGAGTACGACGTGGCCTATGGCGAGCGCCACCTGTTCCGCGTGCCCAGCTACCAGGCCCTAATGCGTGGCGTCTTCTACCAGACGGTGTCCAGGAAGGTGGCGCTGAGCTAGCGCCGGGGCCCCTCTCCCACCGCGAAAACGGGAAGTAAGATCTGACGTGAATGTTCCTGACCAACCTGATGAGCTGGATGTTTCTGAAGGAAAGCCTTGAAAAGCCGCGTGTGTTTTGCCCGCCCCTGGGGTCCCGGGGCCCTGCCAGCGCCTACCCCGCTCACCGTGTTAGCATCCCCCCACCCCCAGCAGGCTCCGAATCCCCGAAGGCGCTTCCCCCTTCCCTGTCTGGGGGCTCGCTTGAGTGCGGCCTCCCCTCCCGCACCTCCCGCATAGTCTGACTTTTCTCACTAATCCTGCACAATTCTTTAGTTAGCATTTCATGTACACTCTCAAAAGTCTGCTAGTAAATTCATGTGAGACGATGGACGCTTCGTTTTTGGAAAGCCAAGGTCGAGAGCATTTTTAAAACATGACCCCTGACGAGTAGACTCCTCCACATAAGGTTCTCCTTCCTCAGGGCTCAGACCTTGGTTCCTGAGGCCTCGGGCCACAGAGCTCAGGGCGAGCGAACGCTTACACGCTGACTGGTGTCTCCAGAAAACGGCAGAAAACGGTGACTCCCCAACCCGAAAACCCCGAGAACAACGGTGCTACCCTGTAGACCCCTGCCCCATCTACTCAGAGGCCTGGACCCCTGGGCCATCCAGTGACACAAAGTGATGTGTTTAAAAAAAATTAAAAAAAAATGACCCAAAGCTCTTTTTCCTCAAGAGAGTGATTGGTTCCACATTTTATTCAAGATCCCGTTTATTTGTTAGTTTTATTTTTACTCCTTCCTGTGTTTTTTCTCACTGTGTCCATATCAGAGGCTTTTTGAAATAAAAGTTTTCACTCCTCTGTCCGCGGTCATCTTTCTGTGGAGTAAAAAAAATCCCAGCAGACCCGCACTTCCCACAACAGGAGGAGACCGTGGAGATGGTCGGGGGTCTGGACGGACAGCCCTCTCTGGGGTTGGGGGAGGACTGTCCACGGATGGGGAGGAGCAGGGAGGGGCCCTGACACCCTGCGCCACAAAAGCAGAAGCGCGGTAGGTCTCAGAGGGCTGGGAGAGCTGGCCGGATCCAACGAGATGAAACCCCAGAAAGGCCAGCCTTCTGGCACCAGAAACAGCCTGCGAGTCCCTGAGGAGGAGGCAGCGGGACCGGCGGGCCCCGTGGAAAGCTGCCTGGGAGACCCGGCCCGGGTCCAGAGAGAGGTGGCAGGGGGCCGTGGCTGTCCCTTCACAGGAACGGCCCTGGCCTCAGGAAGGTCAGAGTGGACGGGGAAGCACAGCCTGGCTCGGATTCCCGAGGAGGAAACGCACGGCCACCGAGCCCCCGAGTGCTCGGCGCCCTGCTGCAGGGCCTGCCAGTGGACGAGGGCGGGGGGGGGGCCGGCGCGCTTCGGCCCCAGGGGTAAAGAAGGGCAGGTGTGCGGGCACCACAGGCACCAGAGCCAGCAGAAGTGGGTGGCGGGAACCGCACGGGGTCCCAGCCGGGGGGGATCCTGACAAGAAGGGGCAGGGACGGGACACCCTTCACCGGACACACGTGGAAAGCCGGGCAGTGGGGCCAGGGCACGACTCCAGCAGAGAACAGCACCCCCACATAGCATCGGCGGGTGTCAGCACAGTCTGCAAGGGAGTCTCAGAGACGCCCAATCCCAGCCCCTGCACTGACATCACACACGCACGTGACGAGAACCAGACAGCTGCCAGCACAGAAAGTTTCCATTCACTCGGCCGACGTCCCGGGGGCCTGTTTGCTGCAGTGTGACCCCGACGTTCGCCCGCCCGTCACGCCCTGTGAGCCCCCGGCCTGAGGGATGTCCCTGCAGCGGCCACAGATCCTGGCTCCTTCCCCACCACCTGCAGCCTGGTAACCCCGAGCCGGTCACCTGCGCCTCGCCTCACTCTCATGAACTGCAAAATGGGTTCGTTAAACCGTAACAGCCACCTGGGAGGGCCGCAGAGAGGCCCGAGGCCACCTGGTGCCCATCACGGGGAGGCCAGAGGGCTGGCTGGGGAGGACAGCAGGGGTCCCGGTGAAGAAGGTGCCAGCTCCAGACCCTCCCCTCGACCCTCCAGGCACGAGTTCCCTCCTGGTCGCCCCAGGTCTGCACCCTGGTCAGGTGGGGTCTGTGGGTTCTTCCTCCTGCCTGGGAGGGGTCATCCCCAGACCTCTCCTGAGGGAAAGGGGGAGAGCCGAAGCGTGTGTTTAAGAAAGGACCGCGTCTGTAACCCCTGAATCATCTCTCTAACTGGAACCGACGGCTGAGAACCCAGGTCTGAAATCAGGCCACGCTTTGTTCGCTGCTGTACTTCTTAACCCCTCGCCTCCCGACGTCCACGAGGAAAACAGAAGGAGCCCCCTTCGCATTAGGGAACCTGACATTTAAAAAATAGGTTATGAAGGAAACTGCAGGCTCCATCACGCCTGTGTCCGTTCCAAGTTTACGAAAGCAATGTTTTAGATCATGGCATGAAGTCTTGAAACATAAGTGCACAGCCAGCTACCCCGTGATTGTAAGGGGGGCAGTGATCCCCGTTCCTGGGCCAGGAGCAGCCGGTGCCCAGCAGCTCTACCACCGGCTCCCCGAGCTTCCCCTGCACACCGTTGGAGCTACAAGGCACGGGCTTGGGGGAGGTGCCGGACGCCGCCAGGGCGGCCTTCCGTCATCACTCCACTTGTCCTGACCCAGAACTGCGGGGGCCAATCCCAGGCCTCTCCCCAGCCCTGCCACTCTCCCCTTTAGGAGCCTCTGGGCGCCGTTCCCTCCTCCTCCTGGGAAGAGTGGTCCTCGAAGGAAAAGGGAATGGAGAACTGAGGGAGTGCTCGGGGAGGCTCCCTGCCAGCCCCCACCTGCTGACCCAGGAAGCTCCCCACACTCTGTCCACCAGCTCGGGGGTCCCATTGTCCCAGCCTTGCCCCACGACACCCCCATAGTCCGTCTCTCCAAGTGTGAGGGGAGCCGGAGGCTCCCCACCAGCAGACCACCACCGCCCACCCATGACCAGCTCTCCCTTCTCAGTGCCAACAGCCTCGCTGTCCTGGGTCTCGGCGGTGAATTCCACCTGGACGGCGTGAGGCCCGCAACCCTTGCTTCCTTCACTCACATTTGTCAGATGTCTCTCCATGTCCTTCGCTTTTGATCTCTCCAGCCGCATCGTTTTAGGTGCACATTTTGTAGATGGCCCGTAAAGGCATCTTTCCACCCATTCTGACAGTCCTTGCTGTTTATAGAAAAATCAAACACATTTACATTTGCTATTACAACTGATATTTGGTCTTCATCATGCATTTTCTATGCTAAGGATATGCAGGAAGGTATATTTTTCTATCTAAGACTTTTGGAAGCACATGGGCAGCACAAATCAGAGAGCTGCCCTGGCCAAGACCCTCGGAGCCAGCCCCACCAGGGGGATGTCTCTAGCCCAGAGTCCCCATCTGCCGGTCTGGCAGCCACTTTCTAAAGAGACAGACTGCCATGTGATACCAAGGGTGTGGCCTGTCCAGCTGCCGAGACAGTGACACTTAGGGTCCCCTGGACACTGAGAGCCCACCTCTAGAGTTGAGTCTCAAGGCCTCCTCAGGGAACACCAGTGGAACCCTGACAACACATCAGAATGGCTGAACTTAGCCTGACTGTGCCAAAGGTCGGGAGGACACGAGGCCCGCGTGTGGCTGGTGTCGGCACGAAAGGACACAGCCACTTAGCATCTCCTCAGTGGTTTCCTAAAATCATACATGTGCTCACCACACCACTCACCCCTCCACTCCTGAGTATCGGCCAAGAGCGATGAAAACATCACCTCTACACCAGTAGGAGAATGTACAACCTTACTTATAAGAGTCAAAAGCTAGAAGCAAGCCGACTGTCCATCGTCAGGAGAATGCACAAGCAAACTGTGGTTCACCTATGCCATGAACACTACTCAAAAAAACCAAAAAGGGAGCAAATGAACATGGGTAAGGTTCACACATGTTGCGCTGAGTGAAAGAAGTCAGGCATAGCCATTCACAGGATGCTCGAGGTCAGGCAAAACTCCTCACTGGCGCTAAAACTCAGGCAGCGATTGCCTCTGTGTGTGAGGACTGGCCTGCAAGGCACAGGGGACTTTTTAGAGAGAGGGAGCGCTGTCTATCTTGATGGTGTGTGGATTACATGGGCGCATTTCTCAAAATCCTTAGGATTGTACGTGTTAGATCTGCACATTTCCTGGTACAGATGCTTTAACCTTAAAAAAAAAAAAAAAAGAAAAGAAAAAGAAAAGGCAGAATTGGTACCCCTGGTTTTCGTGTCTTCATTGGCTCCAAAAGCTCGCACATTCTCCTTTCTTGCTCCCCGTGGTCATGTGTCCAGCCTCCCAGGGTGCGAAATCCCTTTGTGCCTCGATTAATGCAGCCACGTCCCCCCTTTTGTAGATAGAACATGGTATTTATTTCTTCACGATGATCTACCTCTGGAGTATATACCCTTCATACCCTCCCCTGAGTGTGAATCACTCCTGGGATCACGTTACACTGTATTAACCAAGAATTTTACAGAGTAACTAAGGTCCCAAATCAGTTGACTTTGAGTTAATCAAATGGAAGATTCTCCTGGGTGGGTCAGACCTAAAAGATGTCGGAGAGATTTCTCCTGCTGTCTTTCCTATGAACTGCCCATGGAGGGGCCACACAGCTAGAACCTGAGGGTGGGCAGTGACAAAGTGGGGACCCCACCTCTGCAACTGCAAGGAACTGAATCCTGCTCACAACTAGTTAGTCTGAAAGAGGTCCCGAAGCCTCAGATGAGATGGGCCAACAGCTTGGTTCTACCACACGACCCTGAACAGGACCCAGCTGAGCTGTGCCGAGACCTCAGACCCACAGGAACCATGAGATGGTCTGTTTGTGTTTTTTTAAGTGCCTAAGTTGGTGATAATTTGTTATGCAGCCATGTTAGTTAGAACTATCCACCCCGTCTGTATGTCTCACCCTCTAGTCCTCGCAAACGCCTGCTCTCCTCTCCTACCCCTCACTTCTAGAACTAGGGCCATCAGCCCACACTGGGTGTACCCTTCCTGTCTGCCAGGACGAAGATCTCCCGTCAGGGCCTGTGAGGCTGCCCACCCCTCCATGTGGAGCCCAGCTGCCAGGCACCACGAGCAGGGCTGTCCCCCTCTCTTGGGCTTCCCTGCCCTCCTGATGCTTCCATTCTCCCTTTACAATACACATGTCCTCAGCAGGGGGATTACAGGGTATTGCCCAGGTGAGCCCAGGGTCATCACAGGGAGGAGATGGGCGTGGGGGAGAGGGGAAGAGTAGTAGGAACCAGAAGACTGAATGCTGCTGCCTCTGTAGATGCCACAAGGGCCAGGAGCCAAAGAGTGAAGGTGCCTGTACAGGCTGGAAAAGGCAAGAAATGGAGTCTTCCCTGGAGCCTCCAGAAGGAACCAGCCCTACTGGCCGGTCTTGGACTTCTGACCCCCCGATCCATAAAGGATTCAATTTGCATCATTTGAAGCCATCAGTTTTGCGGTGATTTGTTATAGCCGCAAAGGACACACGTTTTCTAACTGATATGCAGCCTGTCTCTCAGCCTTGCCTTGACCACACAGTCAGGGCTTACACACTCTCAAAACCTCCTGAGTAAGGGGCGCCCGGGTGGCTCAGTCGGTTGAGCGTCCGACTTCAGCTCGGGTCATGATCTCACGGCTCGTGAGTTCAAGCCCCGCATCAGGCTCTGTGCTGACAGCTCGGAGCCCGGAGCCTGCTTTGGACTGTCTCCCTCTCTCTCTCCCCCTAACCCACTCGCATTCCGTCTCTGTCTCTCTCAAAAATAATAAATAAGCGTTAAAAAAAATTAAAAAAAAAACTTCCTGGGTGAGCCTGTGAAAATCCACTGGAGAGTCCAGAATGTTGCTGGGGTCAGTGAGTGATGAATTGATATGTTTATAAAAATAAAGTTTAGGGGTGCCTGGGTGACGCAGTCGGTTAAGCATCCGACTTCATCCAGGTCACGATCTCGCGGTCTGCGAGTTCGAGCCCCGCGTCAGGCTCTGGGCTGATGGCTCGGAGCCTGGAGCCTGTTTCCGATTCTGTGTCTCCCTCTCTCTCTGCTCCTCCCCCGTTCATGCTCTGTCTCTCTCTGTCCCAAAGATAGATAAACATTGAAAAATTTAAAAAAAAATAAAAATAAAAAAAATAAAGTTTATAATCCTGAACATGGATTATATCACTTTGGCTTCTAAACACTTTGGATTCTTCAGACAGTATTTAGCCGAAAGAACACGAAGGGCCCGCCCTCGACCAGGTCTCAGCCCCGTGGATGGGCTGAGAGGGGGCAACGGGTCCCTAAGACTCTTCTTTGGGACAGAGAAGAGGCATACGCAATTTCCCTCTTCTCCTCGGGGCTGAGAGCAGCAGCTGCTCTGTGTCTGAGACATCCGTCCCCGTTTCCAGAGAAGCTGCTGGCAGAACAGGCACGCATCCGGTTCATGTAGGAGGATGAGCTCAAACTTGGCCTGCAGAGAAGGATGGCCTCTTATGAGAATAGGCCTCCATGATAGGTTATTCGTTTTTTGTGGGAATACTTTTTCGACATAAGGAAAGATGGCAAAAATGAGTGGTCAGGAGACTGTGTTCATGGCCTGTGACCCCACTCCTGCTCCTGCAGACCCAGACCCAGACCCTTGTTCTCTCAACACTGACTTCTTCATGCCCAAGGCCCAGCTTAAATGCCCCCACCCCAACCCCTTGTCCCAAGTGGATCCTGCTTATTCATTTATTGCCATCATTTTTATTTTCACTTATGAAATATCTCAAACACAGAGTAGAGTAGGGAGAGCAGAGCAATGACCATCGCTGAACCCATTTTCTAGCTTCGTCGATCTTACATCTGCCATTCTTGCTTTAACGACCCCACTGCTGAGACATTTGAAATTACAGACATTATGACATTTCACACATAAATACTTCAGTATTCATCTCTAAAAAAATAAGAACTGCTTTCTACATTAGGCGTAATACTGTTGCTGAATCAAATTCAAAATATAATACCAAGCTAAAAATAGCCTCTATATCATCTAATGCCTGGGCCATATTTAAATTTCCACAATTTTCCAAAGTTATCTTCTACAAGTTGTTTTTCCTCCTAAACTCTGATGGAAGGGTAGGGCTTGCTTCTGGACTTCTCCATCCTGTATGGCACCAATAGTGGATGGAAAAGCTACTGTGTTCTCAAAGTACTTGAAATGATTTTTTTCCTGTGTGGGGTTCTACTATCAATAAACTCTGCCATCTTTCCTCAGCTTCTTTTCAATATCAAAAATATTTTCTTTTTAATTTAATTGTTCAAATACGTAAAATACTGACCTGGCTCAAAAGTCAAAGGTCAAGGCACCCTGCAGGCACCCATTTTCATTGGTTTCTAGTTAGTTCTTTCAGGGTTTCTTTTTGCAACACATTTCCATACAAAAGGAAGTGCCCTGTATTCACAGAGCTGCACTCCATGTCCTCATTTAACAACACAAGCTGGAGGGTACTCTAGCTCATTCTTCCTAACTTGCAGTGATTGGGTTTTCCATCTCCTGGGTCTGCCATGGGTTCAAACAGTATCGCGCAAAAAAGACATTTGGGCAGTTTCCAATCCCAAGGCTGCAAAGAAAACTCCATGCATGTGTCATTTCCTGTTCTTGCACATGTGTGCATCTTTAGAACAGACCAAGGGAAACACATCTGTAACTTTGTTAGACCCAGCCAATCCCTCCACAGGATGGCCAACAAGTACACTGATGCTCCCTTCAGTCTCACCAATGAAATCGCCTGTCAAGCCTCTGGGGTTTTACTAATCTGATGGCTGAGAACCAGTATTTCAGTGCACAGATTTGATTTCTTTTACTACAAATGATGCTAAGCACTTATTTATATGTTGAGATTCATTTGTTCTGAGAAGAGGCATATTTGTGGCCCTTGCCATCTGTTCAATTGTTCTTGTTTTTTTCTTCTCCATTTCCTGAAACTGTACATATTAAATAGGTAGCCCTTAGTGACACCTTCCAAGTGTTTGTTCTCAACTTGTCATTGGTCTTTTGCTTTTACTTTTTAAACTTTAATCAGGGAGAGGAGGAGTTCAAGATGGTGGGGGAGTAGGGAGACCCTAGGCTTGCTTTGTCCTTTGAACACAGCTAGATCAATATCAAATCACTTTGAACACCCAAGAAGTCTATCCGAGTACCGAGAGAGCAAAACTGCATAACTAGAGGTAGAAAAAATGGCCACATCATGTAAGGTAGGAACTGCAGAGAGTAGGTTTGAGGGAGAGAAGAGCTGTGGGTGCTAAGATAAGGAGGAGTGAAAAAGAAAGAAAAAGAGAGAGAAAGAGTGAAAGTACTCATTGGGAACTGTACGAGAAAAACTCTTCCCCAAAACCATTGGCTGGAAAAGGGAGAGGGGCTGAATACCACAAGATTTCATAAACAGCGGAGTACAGAGTCTGAAATTTTAGAGGTCTGCACCATCGCCAGGGTCGTGCCTGATGGGCTTGGCAGTGCTCTCGGGGGACAGAGGGCACAGACCCGGGACCGGGCAACATGGTTGGAGGATCCCCTAGTTCACACAGAGAGCAGCAGTTCCCCTGTTTTGAGTGCATTTGGGAGTGATGCCATAGCCTCTCCCTGTGGCGCCAGCATGTTGCCCTGTTCCCTAGCATAGGAACAAAGACACTCTGGCTGAGGACAGCAAAGCTTGGTATTGGCTTTTAGCTACGTTTTACAATAAATTCTGAACTGCTATGCAGTCACACAACTCATTTCTGGGACAAGACTGCACCAGCCACAGCACAGCGACACCCTCCCCCAGAGGATCAGCACAGGTCCACACCATGCAGATCTCTAAAATTTGGAGTTTTGAGGGGTGCCTGGGTGGCTCAGTCAGTTAAGCGTCCGACTTCAGCTCAGGTCATGAGCTCTTGGTTTGTGAGTTCGAGCCCCGCGTCGGGCTCTGTGCTGACAGCTCAGAGCCTGGAGCCTGCTTCAGATTCTGTGTCGCCCCATCGTTTGGCCCCTCCCATGCTCATGCTCTGTCTCTCTGTTTAATGGTTTAATAAATAACCATTACAATTTTTTTTTTTTAATTTGGAGTTTTGAAACCCAGCTGCACGGGATAAAATACACGAGTGCTCTTCTGCCTGGCGGGCAGACAGCTCAGTCGCTGGCAGGGTGCAGGTGGGGATCTGGTAGAAGCCAGGGACACAAGTGAGGTGATTGCTCTTCTGTGAGGGCTTTCTGAAGAGTGGCAGGCAGGAGCTCCCCAATCCAGGGATAAAAGAGCTGTGTAAGGCCAGTATCTGCTCCCATCAACATTGGCTGACTTCAGGGAGCAAAACAGCGCCACCCAGTGGAGGCCTGAGGTGCTTATACCAAGCCCCCATCCTCACCCAGAGCCCCTGCAGGTTCATCTTCACTAGGGCAAGAACACCTGAGAACCAGAGCAACAGGCCCCCTTCCCAGGAGACCAGCACAAACCCCTCACATGCACAAGTCTACTGATCATCAAGTGCTGCAAATCTTCAGCTGTGAGGGAAATGGGATCTTGTTTATTTTTTTGTTTTTGTTTTGGGAGGGTTTTTTTTGTTTGTGTTTTTTACCTCTTCTGAATATAGCTATTACTCTCAGGAGCATGAATACAATAGGTTTTCCTAACAATCTCTCTCTCTCTCTCTCTCTCTCTCTCTCTCTCTCACGTGCACACACACACACACACACACACATCATTGACTCAGACAAAATGACAAGATGGAGGAATTCACCCCAAAAGAAAGAACAGGAAGAAGTCATGGCCAGGGATTTAATCAATACAGATACAAGTAAGATGTCTGAACCAGAATTTAAAACAATAACCCTAAGGATACTAGCTGGGCTTGAGGAAAGCATAGAAAACACTAGAGAATCCCTTACTGCAGAGATAAGTCAGGCCAAAAAAAAAAAAAAAATGCTTTAATGAAGATGCAAAACTGAATGATGCAATGACAATAAGAATGGATGAAACACAGGAATGAATCAGTGATATAGAAGATAAAATTATGTAAAATAATGAAGCTGAAAAAAAAGGAGTGTAAGAAAGGTATTGGATCATGAGTGTAGACTTAGGGAACTCAGTGACTCCTTAAAGCATAATAACTTTCATATCATAGGAGTCCCAGAAGAAAAGATAAAGGAGCAGAAGGTTTATTTGAGCAAATTATAGCTGAAAACTTCTCTAATCTGGGGAAGGAAACAGACATTGAAATCCAAGTAGTACAGAGAATTCTCATTAAATTCAACAAAAGCCAGCCATCATCAAGACATAGTATACTCAAATTCACAAAATACACAGACAAGGAAAAAATCCTGAGAGCAAAAAGGGAAAAAAAATTCTTAACTTACAAGGGAAGACAGATCAGATTCACAGCATAACTGTCTGCAGAAAGTTTTCAGGCCAGGAGGGAATGGCATGATATATTCAACATCCTGAAGGAAAAAATATGTAGCCAAGAATACTTTATCCAGCAAGTCTGTCATTCAGAGTAGAAAGAGAGACAAGAGGGGTGCCTGAGTGACTCAGTTGGTTGAGTGTCTGACTTTGGCTCAGGTCATGATCTCATAGTTCATGAGCTGGAGCCCCACATCAGGCTTGCTGCTGTCAGCGCAGAGCCCACTTGAGATCCTCTGTCCCCCTCTCTCTCTGTGCCCCGCCCCCCGCCGCTCATTCTCTCCCTCTCTCTCTCTCCATCTCTCAAAAATAAAACAGTAAAAAAAGAGAGAGAGAAACAAGACTTCCCCAGACAAACAAAAACTAAAGGAGTTTGTGACAACTAAACCAGCCCTGCAAGAAAGATTAAAGGGGACTCTTTGAGTGGGGAAAAAAAGACCAAAAGCAACAAAGACTAGAAAGGAACAGAGAACATCACCAGAAATACCAACTTTGCAGGTAACACAGTGGCACTAAATTCATATCTTTCAATAATCACTCTGAGTGTAAATGGAATAAATGCCCCAATCAAAAGACACAGGGTATCAGAATGGATTAAAAAACAAGACTCATCTATGTGCTGCCTTCAAGAGACTCATTTTATACCTAAAGACATCAGCAGATTGAAAGTGAAGGGATGAGAAATATCTATCATACTAATAGACACCAAAAGAAAGTCAGAGTAGCCATACTCATATAAGAAAAACTAGATTTTAAACCAAAGACTATAACAAAAGATGAAGAAGGACATTGTATCATAATTAAGGGGACTATCCATCAAGAAGATCTAACAATTGTAAACATTTAATCCCCAACTTGAGACACCTAAATACATAAATCAATTAATAACAAACATAAAGAAACTCATTGATAATAGTACAATAATAGTAGGAGACTTTAACACCCCACTTATAGCAATGGAAAGATCATCTAAGCAGAAAATCAAAAAGAAAACAATGGCTTTGAATGAAAACACTGGACCAGAGAGACTTAGCAGATATATTCCGAAC